TATATAGATGGCTATGAGTAAACTGTATTTATTCTTCACTTTATCTCCAACATCTATGTTCTTAGTTCTTTTCTGTCACTGTTTGAATTTCTCGTGACCTTGAGTGTTGCGATAAAAATTTGTGGTAGTTTGAAAGTCAGCTCTGATTTGGAAAAAAATTTAGGCAGAGCAGCATAGGAGTTTGTTCTTTTCAATCGATAATTTCTGTCCCATGAGAGTGTTTATTAAGTTGAGCACACGTATTCTAAATTTCTATTCTATTTTCTTTCAGGGCACAGTAAATAAGCAAATTAATGAAAATATTTTAACTTAGATAAATTTTCTAAATTATTAGGCTACAAACTACTCACGCATTATCTTTAATACTGGAAGAATTGAAAACATAGTCCAAGAAAGACACAAATTGATCTTCGAAAGTTGACCTTGAAATGTGCGGCTCGTTGAATAAGCGTTCTGTAGTGTCACCATGCCCAAACCGAATGAAACTTTCAAAAGGTTTTGGCATATAAATAAAGCCGAGAATCAACTTAAACGAGAGTCACATGAATCTGTTGGCTCAGTTGATATCTTGTGGAGGCGCTTTTATGTGAACATAAGTCCAATTTGTTGCATATTCAACGAAATTTCTTCATCAAGACATAAACTGAGAGGGAGAAAATGGGCCATAGCAAAGTGAGATGATGGTTGTATTTGATTGCAGCAGAGAAAAGTTGCACAAAACCAATCTGGATGATAGTCCGGGCTGATTAGCCATTTTCCCCCACGATTTCGTTTGGAAAATGATGGCTCAATTTGAAATGCAGCTGAGACCACGTGATATAAAGCTGTTATCGAACGGCCAACAAAGCATAGCACGTATTGATTTGACCAACAAATTCAAATCGCGTCGCCCGCCCATTTGGCAATGGGTTTATCTCACTGGTGGCCAACGAGTAATTCAGCATATTGTTAAAGCTGATCTACTGAGCCAGTTTTCTAATTCTTTTTTACCTGTCAAAAGAATTAAATATTTACACCGCCTAACGAGTTGGAAGGAATATGATTATTGAGAGCATTGTTGTTGGTCTCCTACATACGCCAATTCGGACATAGCAAAATTTTCTGCACTGATAAGAGAGGTTTTGATAACTGTCACTCCAAAAATGCATTCGCGGAAGTCATATTTTTCACATAAGAAGGTTGACATATCAGCTTGCATGAGCTTGGTGGTAGAAAACGGTTAGACCTAAATAGATATTATTTTTTCACATTTATACAGTTTCTAGAGGGGGTCGATTTCAATGTCAAACTCGTTTTATTAACGCGCATCAGCTGGGATTTTAATTTAAGCGGAAACTTTTCCCTCTATCAGAGCTAGGGGTAAGTTAGCTACCTTGCCATTGGTTGCCGGTGTTAAGGGTGTGCGGTGTATTAGAGGAAACTTGCAAATGCTGTTTGGCAGTTAACTTGGTGGATTCCATCCTAAAGCGACTTCCTCCAATACTCAAAAATGAAGAGGAGCAAATGGAACACGGACGAGATGAAAGTGCAATACCTGTAAAAAGTCTATAAGTCATTTTGATAAATAAATTACAGAGAGGTTTTCTACGGTGACCTTGTTATCTTACAACTGATGCATAAGCAAAAATCGTTGAAATCGCGAACTTGTACATTTAAATAGCACGTGGCTAATAGAAGCAGTGACATAAGTGGATATTATATCAGATATGTAGCGTTTGATGTGGGGCAATACCATATTGAATCCCGTGAATATATATATATATATAGTGGTAGTAACATTATGAATATGTTACTGTTGTGACTGTTTGTATGTGGACTTGCTGTTGGGTGCTTTGGTGCCGATCTAGCGTCATGTCCAGAGGGATATAGTGAACTGATTAGGAAGAGAATTTCCAAATCGTCGAGGCATCATCATCATCAATGCAAAGGTTTCAAAATATGTGTCTAGTTGCAAACGTCTTACCAGCCGCTACAAGAAAATGAGCACTTGTTCTACCGTGGCCTTCGAAGCATAGCAATGCGGAAAACTTTTGAACACAGAAACTACTGAACGGCAAACCTTTTTCATGGCAGCACATTTAGCCGTCTCAGTATAGCCGATCATCTTGTGGGAGGTCAAAATTTTCACGAACGGAAATCCGGAAAGTTTGGCGATTTCCACAGCCAGCGCAGTTTTTCCGGCCTTTGGCGGACCCTCGATTAGCAGGGTAAGGGGACGATAAGTTTCCACATCGTTTTCACCCACTGCACGCACAGCCAACCGACCCATATTGAGCGCCTCGGAAACGGTTTCGCCCCACATCATAATACCTCTTGGTGCGTAATAGCTCAGTTCCTCCTCGGCCGTACCGAAGGCCTAGAACAAAGAAGGTTGAGCAACCAAGATTATCAATGAAAATTCTCCGCGGTCCATTATTGCCCCATTTCATAACAATCGAAAGGGTATATTGCACTTTATCACTGATCACGACTCATGTGTATTACTCTGACGGACGTTCTAGGATGTCTGAATTCGGGTTACGATAACCGCAGTGATACAGTTACAACCACAGCAGATGTTCACTCTGATGGAAACCCTTAATGCAGTCAACCACGTTGGCTACGGACCGAACTGCTAGTCAGAACTGGAATAGTTTAATGCATGCATGAATAAATTTTTGCAACGTAATAGCAATCTGCTCCACATGCTCCACTTGCAAGGTCCACATAATGGATTTTGAACAGCCAACTGATTGGATGGAGTTCCCGTATGTTG